CCATATAATTCACATATTGGAAGTGTATAATTCCATATCTTTTAATAGAGTCACAGGGTTCTGCAACCATTGTTGCAATCTAATTTTTTTCTGTTTTGTCCATTTATTTTGTTCTTTAGATTCCACATATAAGTGAGATCATATGGTATTTGTCTTTCTCAGTCTGACTTATTTCACTTAGCATAATACCTTCTAGGTCCATCCATGTTGTTGCAGATGCAATCTAATTTTATAATATTTTTGCCACCCCCCCAAAAAAAATCCTCATACCCATTAGTAGTCATTCTCCATTCCCCTCAATGCTTTCAAACCCTGTGCAATCTACTTTCTGTCTTTATAGATGTGCCTCTTCTGGAAATTTCACATGAATGAAACCATACAGTACATAGTATGTTGTGACAGGCTTCTTTCACTTAGCATGATGTTTTCAAAGTACATCTGTGTCTTAGCATGCTGTTTTTACTGCAGGTAAAGTTGCACGTGAGCAAGATGACATGTACATTCATTGAGGTATTGAGCATAATGACAAAAGACTGGAAACAATCCAAATATATATAATTATATAAAATAAACTATGGTACAACTATAAATGAACTAGGTGACTGTAAAAAAACTCTCTTTAAACTGATGTGGAACGAGTTTGTGGAGAAATTGTTAAGTGAATAAAGCAACATGTACAAGGTGTGTATAATAAGTTACACTTTGTATAGAAAGGGAGGGGATGTGGAAAAGATAAATAAGAAAATAAAAGTTACGTGGAAGTTATTTGGTGAGATTAGCATATATACATACGTACATTTATATACACATATTTTTACTTTTTGAAACATGTGAATGTATTTATTACCTGTTACAAACAAACAAACAAACACCAGAAGGAAGAAAAGTGGATATTCTGAAACTAGGAAAAGCAACCCGGAGTAGAAAGCATTCTTGTTGATGGCTGTTTGCACAGCTATAGTTTCCTTCACTTCTAGAAACTGGGCTGAGCAGGTGGGGGTTGGGCTCCCCTGGCATAAGACTCAACAGGATGGCCTGGAGGAAGAGGCCACCCAACAGGCCTGGGAAGTCTGGCTGATCTGGGGTTGGAACAACTCGAATGCTTGCAGCCAAACCCTCCCTGAGGGTATAACCTGTAGGATGCGGGCTCCTAACTTTGTACCAACTTCCTGAAGCCTCTCTGACAGTGAATGGCCCAGGCATGGCCCTGAAAAGGGGAGAGTGTTGGACTGTGATAGCTTTCAGCGTTTGTCTTCCCTCTGGCAGGGAAAGAGAATAGTTTCCAGGGGAAATAATACATTGAGAAGGGCAAGAACCAATTTGAGGGCTACTTCACTATATTCCATTCCTGAAACAGGAAAGGGGAACTCTCCCCGCACCCCAAACAAAAGAAGAGTGTGAGAACACGGGGTGTGTTTGATGTCTGCAAAAAATGGGACAGAATCCTTGTTCCTTGCTCTGTTCTCAAGGAGCATGCACAGTGTTTTCCCTGACAGTTTCCTGTTCCAGTGAAACTATTTATACAAAAGCAGTGAAATGAACTTGCGAGGTAAATAATGACTCCTCTGGAACAGCATCTCATACACCTGATCCTACTATTACCTGAGATAAATTTCAGAGTGCACACCTGGACAGCAGTGGGGAGAGGATTTTCTAATATGTAAAAACAAGAAAAGTAAAATGTTAAAAATGTGTTATGTGTAAGTTCCATCTTCCTCTTAGAAACTAAGTTTTCTTAAGAGCTGAGTCTCATTTATAGCACCAGGAAATAATAACTCCAAAACAGCCAGCATTTACTGAGGACTCTCTGTGGCAGTAACTGTACTGAGTTTTGTATCATACTCATGTTGACACAGTACTTAGCTGTAATTATTCAGTAAATATTTATCAAAGAGCTTGAAAAAAAACTACTAAAGACATTAAAGAAGAGGAAATTACAGACAAATATTTCTCATGAATATGGATGCAAAAGATACTTTAAAAATAGTAGCAAATTGAATCCAACAATAAATAAAAAAGACCAGCATCATAGCCATGTGGGGTTTATCCCAGGAATGCAAAGATGGTTAGGTTTTTGAAAACAATTCAAAGTAATTAACCATATTAACAGAATAAAGGAGAAAAATCATATAACCATCCCAATAAATGCAGAAAAAGTATTCAACAGGATTTAATATCCTTTTATGATTAAAAAAACAAACTTGAAACTAGGAATATAGGGTAATTCTGCCTTCTATCTGATAAAGGGCATCTACCAAAAAATCTGCAGACAACATCATATTTAATTATGAAAGACTGCTCTCTCTCTCTTTCTAAGATTGGGAACAAGATAGAGATGCTTATTTCACCATTTTAATTTAATGTTGTTGTTGCATTAGAAGTCCTAGCCAGTGAAATAAGTCAAGAAAAAAAAAAAGGCACGCAGATTGGAAAGGAGGAAGTACAACTGCCTCTGTTAGCAGATGACATGATTGCTACATTTAAGCTTATTCTTAGAAACCTAAAAACAACCAGTAGAACTCTAAGTAAATTTAGCAAGGTTATAGGATACTAAGTCAATGTATAAAATCAATCATATTTCTCTATTATAGCTGTAAACAACTGGAAAATGAAATAGTTCTATTTTTAATAGCATAAAAATCACAAAATGTTTACAAATATATTTAACAAAAGATGTAGGGAGCCCTCTATATTGAAAACAACAAATTAAAAAAAGATTCAAATAAATATAGGGGTATACTGTGTTTGTGGTTTGCAAGACTTAAGGTTGTTGAGATGTTCATTCTCTATAAATTCATCTATTACCTCTTTTACAGAAATTAACAGGCTGATTTTTTTAAATAACCTTTTTATTTTGGGATAATTTTAGATTTACAGAAAATTGGCAAAAATAATACAGATTCTTTTATGCCTCTCACCCAGCTTCCCATTAAGTTGACATCTTACACATACTATAGTACGTTTGTCAAAACTAAAATATCAACACTGGTACATTACTGTTACCTTCATCTGGATCCAGTCCAGGATACCACATTGCATTTACCGGTAGTTGTATCTCCTTAGTCTACTTGGGTCTGTGACAGGTGACAGTTTTTCAGTGTGTCCTTGTGTTTTTTTATTTTATTTTATTATTTTTTAAGATTTTATTGGGCATTGGGGGAGGAGAACAGCGCTGGGGAATCGGGGAAAGGGAAACAGACAAGTTGCTGTCCTTTTGTTCTTCAGTCTAGTTGTGGAGGACGTCGCTTCACTGGCCCATGTTGTATTATCACTGCACTCTTCCCGGATGAGGCAGATTGGTCACCAGCCTCTGGATGGCGGCTCACAGCAGCTCTTGGCACCTCACACCGGCTGCTGGCCGCTCACGCTGGCTGCCGGCCACATGGTAGCTTATGGCAGCCCCCTGCAGCAGGGGCTGCAGCCTATGCCATCGTGGATGACTCAGGGCAGCCCTGCTCCAGGTCGAGCTGCTGCTCACCATGTTAGCTGCAGAGGGCAGTGTCACTGGCCCTCATGTGGGATCAAACCAGGGTCCTGCTGCTCAGAACTGGCATCCCAAGCCAGCTCTTAACCAACGCACCACTTGGCCGGCCCCCCTTGTGTTTCTTTAATCTGGAAATACAAAGGATCTGGAATTGCAGAAATAATTTTGAAAAATAAAAGCAAAGCTGAAGGAGTTACATTATCTGACTTCAAACCTTATTACAAAACTATAGTAATCAAAACAGTATGAAATTGACATATGGATAGACAAATCAGAATAGAAAGAAATGGAACAGAATAGAAAGTTCAGAAAAAGACCCACACTTGTATGGTCAATCAATTTTCAACAGAGACATAAAAACAATTCAGTGGGGAATTGTGTGTTCATCAGATATTGTTGGAACAACTGGGTATCCACTTGGAAAAGGAGAATGAGAAAGCTGCCTAACATTGCCAAGTTTGTGAGTGGTAGGGAGGGGATTCCAAGCTATACTTTCTGGCTAACATGTGCTATAAATTAGGAATATAAATTTATGATCAACACATTTAGGTCACAGTATTTTTCTGAATCAAATTCCATTTGAGGCCATACCTTTCAAAATGTCAATGTCATGAAAAAAGAAAGAGAGGTTGAGGAAATGTACCTGACTAAAGAAGACTAAGGATAGATAAATAAATACAATGCATGATTCTGGATTGGATCCTGGATCACGTAGACACACAAAAATTCCAGAAAGGACATTATTATCATTGGAAAATGATATGGACAGCATGTTAAATAATAGTTTTATATGAATGTTAAATTTCCTGAATTTGAAAATCATACTGGAGTTATGTAAGAGTATGTTTTTATTCTTAGAAGATACAGAATTATTTGGAGGTAAAGGGTCATGAGGTCTGCAAGTTATTCTGAAATGGTTTAACATTATTAACAACAACAATAATAAACATATATGGAAGAAATCAAATATGGAAAAGTATTAACAATTGGTGAATCTAAGAAGTAAAGGAGAGTTCATTGTGTTATCCTTTTTATAATTTAAATTTTTTAATATATATTTTTATTTTTTAATATATATTTTTATTTTTTAATATATATTTTAATTTTTTAATTACAGTTGACATACAATATTATATTCATTTCAGGTATATAACACAGTGATTACACATTTATATAACTTATGAAATGATCACCCTGATAAATCCAGCTACCCATCTGACACCATACATAGTTATTACAATACTACTGACTATATTCCCCATGCTATACTCTATATACCCACGACTATTTTGTAACTACCAATGTGTACCTCTTAATCCCCTTCCCCCTTTACTCATTCCCCACCCCCAATCTGGCAACCATCAAAATGCTCTCTGTATCTATGAGCTTGTTTCTGTTTTGTTTGTTTATCCTGTTCCACATATAAGTGAAATCATGTGACATTTGTCTTTCTCTGACTTATTCCACTCAGAATAATACCCTCTAGGTTCATCCATGTTATTTCAGATGGCAAGATTTTATTCTTTTTTATGGCTGAGTAATATTCCATTGTATATGCCGAATTTCCCCATGTATAAGATGCTCCCGTGTATAAGACGCACATTAATTTTGGGACCTGAAATTTGAAAAAAAATGTATTACATAAAGTTATTGAACTCAAGTTTTATTCATTATAAAATTCATACAACTCCTCATCACTTTCAGGAAATGCAAGTAAAAAATCTACAACCACTGTATAAGACGCACCCAGTCTTTGGACCCCAATTTTTTTGAAAAAGGGTGTGTCTTATATATGGGAAAATACAGTATGTACCACCTCTTCTTTATCCATTCCTCCACTGATGGACACCTGGGTTGCCTCCATATCTTGGCTATTATAAATAATGCTGCAATGAATATATGGATGCACATGTTCTTTCCAAGTAATGTTGTGGGTTTCTTTGGATAAATACCCAACAGTGGAATTAATGGGTCTTTCTTTGTATGTTGTTACAGCCTTTGTTTTAAAAGCTTTGTGAGGATGGAAACTTAAAGGCCTCTAGAGGTCTAGACTTCGTAACTTGTGCAGCACCACTTCTGCCACAATCTTTTGTTCAAAGGAGCAAGGCAAGCGAAGATTCAAGGTAAGGAAGAGACTCCATGTCTGGACTGGAGGGAATCTTTTTAACAAGGCCGTCTCAGGTAACCCATGCACACTGGGGTTAAGTGTGAATTACTTATTTAAGAAATGTGTTCACAGCTGTGACCCATTGCATTTGGCACAAATCTTTATTTCTAAACTTATATGCTGGATATGTAAATGTTTTTGTTTCTTTCAGAGGGCTTTTTTAAATGTCACCTTTCTATCCCCAGACCTATCACAATACTTGTGACAGAGTTAATATTCAGTAAATATCTTTGAAGTGAATGCAAATATTTGAATCTAGAGTTTGTGGAATATTCTAAAAACCATATGGAATTGCTCTCATAGTTTCATAATAATTAGGGAGGTAAGATATGGAAAAGTAAGATTTACAGATACAGGGGTTTCCTGAAATAGCAATATGCTTAGGTACTATAAGGAGATGGACCCACTGCAGCTCAGAATGGTAGGAGAGTTTGTGAAGTAGGAAGAATCTGAGGAGGAGTTTGAGAGGTGAGCAGGCATGGGAAGGAAGGGAAGGAAGAGGGTGTCTTAAGCGGGTGGGCCTGGTATAACCACAGGTGTGGCTTTACCACTAGCAGGTTTAGGAGTCAGTGGCTGGTGCATGAGGCTTACAAAAGGAAATAGTGTAAAATATTTGTCAAAGAGGTTGCGGATGGATTGTGGAGAGTCTGGGAAAGTGACCTGATGAAAATGGTATTATACCATGATCAATTTGTCAGTTGTAATAGCAGTTAAAAATGACTACCTCACAAACTGTACATTAACCAAACCTGGGATTCCAAGATGCTGGGGACCTCTAGCCGGCATCAGTTGAGGTGAATTCTATTTTAGAAAACGTAGAAATGAAAATAGTGTAGATAAGTCCTGAACACCAAAGAATTTGTTTAAACATCAGATCCCCTCCCCCCAGGTTTATTGAGATTGTAACAGATACATAACAAAATCAGATTCTTAGTAGTGATAGAAATTTGGGATACTCCATACCCTACTCCCTATGCTGTCCCAGGGCCTCTGCCGTTACCCCACCTTTTCATGTATGTATTGATTACTATGTGCCAAGAGCTCTGCAAATACACTCTCTACTTTAATGGGCCAAACTTCTCTATGAGATTGAGGCTATCATGCCCATTTTACTGATGAAGAAACAGCCTTAGAAGGACATGATTCACCAGGTCTCTGAGTGGAGGCTACACACCAAAGATGTAAACCCGAGGCTGGAATCCAGGTCGCGCATGCAGTGGGGAAAAAGAGCGTGGCGCGACTCAGGAGGGACCCACGGCAAAGGGAAGGGAAACGGGAACATGGAGACTCAGCCCCCTCTTCCAGGACTCTGCAGGTCTGTACACCGAGTCATGGGGAAACCTCTCCTGCGTGACACATATTAACGCGTCTTCATTAGGGGCCTTTCCAAAATCACGGTATCTCATTGGGAGGATGGGCGATTTTGATTGGTTAGTTGGACCTCGAACCAGGCCTACGTCCTAAGGGACGGGCGACGAGTGGGCGGGATTTGAAACAATCCCTCGTTTTATTGGAAAAAAGAAAACAAACCAGGAACTATTCAGAAACATGATTGGCTGTTGCTCCCGACGCCTTGTGGGCCCTGGTTACGGAAGCCGGGGAGAGCTGAGAGCAGGTTCTACCTCAGGGAAGTTAGCAGTGTGAATCCGGATAGCGGTGAAGAGGTGTCTGGGACGCAATGGCGACTGTGGAAGCAAGCGGCAGCGATGGGAAAGGGCAAGGGGTAGAGACCCCCGTCACCTATTATCGTTTGGAGGAGGTGGCGAAGCGCAACTCCTTGAAGGAGATTTGGCTGGTGATCCACGGGCGAGTCTACGATATCACCCGCTTCCTTAACGAGGTGGGGCCCGGGAGGTGGGCGGCCCCTGGGAGCTGCTGGGATGAGGGGTGGTCGGGCCCGGAAAACTGCTAGGGGTGTGTGTAGAGGGAAATGAGATCAGGCTGAGGGCGATAAGGCGTTTGAAGGGGACCACAACCCCCCGAGAGGGAAACTGGGGGCGGGGTGGGCGCTTATATTTGCGTGCATTTCTAGCCAGCACTAAATTCTAGTGCCTTATAAATAATATCATGTATTACTTAACCATGCATTGAACACTCACTATGGCCAGGCTAAACTCTAAGCCAGTATGATCCCCATTTTACAGAAAGGGCAACTGAGCCTCAAGAGAGACAGGATTCTAAAGGTTATACGTTTAATAGCCTAGAGCCATTCGAACTTAGTTCTGAAGGGCTCCAAACCTGTGCCCTTTCCACTCTGCCTTCTGAAGTAATACCATTTTTGGCTTTCATTTTCTTGAGAAGCTGAGCTTCTCCCTCCTCCCCCATTATGCTGCGTTTATTTTTTTTTCTAATTTGAATTGACGTTAAGGCCAGAGGGTCACGAGTTGACCTTTTTTGGCCATTGACTCAGGTTCTGCCATCCTCTTAAATCTTAAAGGCATTGTATTAGATTTCGTTACACAAGTTCTCCTTGAGACTATGGTGCAGCTGAGTGATTTTTCTTTCGTTTTTTTTAGTTTAAGGACACAGGAGAGACGTTTAATTTGTTTAAACAAGAATTTTGTTGAGATGTCATTTTACATACAATAAGTTGTGTCCATTTAAAATACACAGTTGGAGTTTTGACAAACGTATTCACCCCATGTAATCACAACCCCAATTAAGAAAGAGCATTTCCATCACCCTAAAAAGTTCCCCCTTTCTCATATGCAGTCATTCCCTCCACCCCCAATCCATGAGGCTTTGAGATTTTATACATAAACATTTACCATATATCTATATATCTATACAATTTTATTTTGAGTTAGATTATTAATCTTGTGATTAATTCCTTTCTTGCATAATTTAACTGTACTGTAACTAAGAAAAAAGTTCCTTTCTATTTTCTGAAGCAAATATACTAGGAAAATTACTTTTTCTACTAATTTGGGGCCTAGGGGAGAGCTCTTTACATCCTCATTCATAAATCTATAAAAACATTTAAAATGTAAAATTTCACAAAAAGGACATTGTTTTTAATAAATCTTCCTAGTGGCCAGTAAGTTAACATCATACATTTTAGTAACTTCTTGCATTTGTATGGTATATGGCATTTTATGCTTTTAAAAATGCTTTCCCATTATTTCATCAAAGTAACTAGTTGAGAGTGACGTGGATAGTAGAGATCCTTATTTTAATAGGGGTACAAGAAACAGGTTCAGAGAGATTTTGGTCATAAAGTTGATTAGTGGCAGTCTAGTTTAGATATTGTCTTTAGATTTAGATTTCTCTTGTCTACATGGTATTACTTCAGAATTCTAGCCTTAGCTATGTCCTTTGGTGTATGCCTCATAATAAGTTTTAGTTGTGGATTGTAGCATATTAAAGCATAGTTCATAACAGGTAGGTAATGTTTTTCATTTGTGGTTTTATTTCCCCCAAATTTCTTCTTGATTTACTCAGAATACGTAATGAACTTAGAAGGAACACTCAGGGACATGAATTCAATCTTGAATTCTGAGTTGCTAAACTGGTTCATCACATGCTGGTGGAGCCAGAGACATCACAGGTGTGCAAAGGCTTCGCTGGAAGCTTGAGCTGCAGATCTTAACCTGCAGTTAGCCATTTTACTAACCTGTTCTCTAGTCTCTGTCCCTGTTTTCTTGTGCATTCCAAGCCTATTCATTCACTTACTCATTCACATATGTATCAAGTGTCTACCATGTGCCAGTTATCGTCCTAGGTGCTGAGGATACAGCAGTGGGTAATCAAACATTTAAGCCATCTATGGGAAGTGGATAATAAGCAGGGAAAATAACTAAAATGTATGCTGTGTTAGGCAGCGGTAAGTGCTAAGTAGAAAAATAGAGAAGAGGATGATGGATGTGTATGGGATGAGGGTGTGAGGATGAGGGGTTGCAATTTTAGGTATGATGGCCAGAGATGGTTTTATTAAGAAGATGTCTTGTAGTAAAGGCCAGAAGGAAGTTGAGGGAGCTAGCTAGCCATTTGGGTATCTGCAGGAAGAGCATTCTGGTAGAGGGAGGAAGTTCAAAGGCCTTGAGGTGTGGGGGTACGTGTGATGTGTTTGAGGAACAGTGAGGTAGGCCAGGCTGGACAGCGGTAAATGAGGTCAACACCATCAGGGGAGAGCAGATCGAGTACAGCTGTGCAGATCCTGGAAAGGATTTTGACTTTTGTTCTGAGAAGGGAAACTACAGCGGAGCAGAGGAATGACATGATGTGACTTAAATGGTTTAATAGTATCACTCTGACTGCACTGTTGAGAAGAGACTGAAGGAGGGCAAGGGCAGAATTGAGCCCAGTTAGGAGACTGAGCAAGAGATGATGGCATGGACCAGGGTGGTGTCAGTGGGGGTAGTGAGAAGGGTCAGATTTTGGATGTGTTGCAATGGTAGAGACAGTAGGGTTTAATGATTTGGATTTGAGGAGTGAGAGAATAAAGAGTCAAGGATGACACCAAAGCTTTCGGCCTTCAGATCTAGAAGAATATGGTTGCTCTTAGATGCGATGGGGAAGACTTAAGGAGTTAGATCTGTTTTATAGCCACCTTCTTCCACATTTTAGATATAGTTTGGAAGGATTGGGAATTGATGTAGGGAAGTTAGAACAGGTACCTTTTTTATGGAACTCAGGTTAATTTTTTCATATTTGAATAGGTCATACAGATATACAGTGAAAAGCTTTCTTCCCATATGCCCAAAGTGAACTACCGTTGTTTATGTACCCTGCTAGAGCAGGGGTCGACAAACTTTTGAGACGGAAGAGCCAATCCTGTCCCTCCCAACAATTTAAAAATCATTCGAGAGCCATAAAACAAATGAAATCACCATTATGTGAATAATATCCTTTAAAAATTTTATAAATGAAACTATGATAGTTTTATTTTCATTTTCAGTTTTACTTCAGAGCCACGTGTATATACCCAAAGAGCTGCATGTGGCTCGTGAGCCACAGTTTGCCGACCCCTGTTGTGGAGTTTTGTTTTGCATATATAAGCAAAAGTGAGCGTAGTCCCTCCCACTCTTTTTTTCACACAGGAGGTAGCATACTGTACACACTATTCTGTGCCTTGTTATTTCATTTAACTGTCCTCAGGAGTCTTTCCACATTGATACCTGGAACACATCCTTATTCTTCATGGCATTTGTTGTCTGGCTCATAATTTATTTAAGCAGTCTCCTATTGATAAACATTTAGGTTGTGAATAATATTTTGCTATCTAGGTTTTTTCCCCTCCAAGTAAACTATTGAAGTCGAATGTACATACACTGAAATGTACAGATTTTATAAATAGAGTTCATTGAGTTTTTGACAAATGTCTCACCTGTGTAATCACCATCACAATCAATATATAGAACATTTCTATCACCTCTGCCCTCGTCCAACCACTGATTTGATTTCTAACACTGGAAAACTATGTGTACTCTTTTGTGTCTAGTATCTTTTTCTTAACATATCTGTGAGATTCATCTATGTTTTTTCTATGTATCAGCAATTTATTCCTATTTATTGCTTTTTATTTAATTGTATGATTATACTAAAATGTGTTTATTCACCTGTTGATTAACATTTGGGTTGTTTCTATTTTTTTGGCTATTATGAATAAAGCTGCTGTGTACTTTCGTGTATAAATCTTTGTGTGGACATATGTTTTCATTCCTCTTGGGTAACTATCTAGGAGTGAGATTGCTGGGTCATATGTTTTGTTTTTTAACTTTTTAAGCAACAGCCAGACATTTTCCCAAAGTGTCAACATCATTGTACACTCCCACCAGCAATGCCTGAGTTTTCCAGTTTCTCCACATCCTCATTGACACATAATATTTGTCATTTTACTTTTAGCTATTCTAGTGGGTGTGTACTGGTATATAATTATTGTTGTAGCTTGCATTTCCCTGATGACTAATGATGTTAAGCATCTTCATGAGCTGTTTTTGCCATTAGGTATGTCTTTTTGTAAGGTGTCTGTTCAGTCTTGCCCATTTTATAATTGGGTTGTTTGTTTTCATATTATTGACTTGAAAGTGTTCTTTATATATTGGGTTGTCGGAAAAGTCATGACGCATTTTTGCAACAACAAAAATACGTCTTGACTTTTTCGACAACCCAATATTTTGGACGCAAGTCCTTTCAGATATATGTATTGCAAATATATTCTCCCAGCATTTTCATTTTCTTAAGTATCATTTGAAGAGAACGTTGGTGAATTATATATGTGAAGTATAATTCTAATGGCTGAGTTCTGGCTTTGGTGTCTTAAGTGTCTGGTTTAGGTTCCTACTTTACTACTTAATAGTTGTGTAACCTTGGACAAATAGGCTCTGTAAAGGCCCTTTCCATCTGTAAATGGAGATAATGGTTCCTAATCCACAGGGTTGTTGTTGGAATAGTTGATTTAGATAATGCATCTTGTGGAATTAAGAAATCTATAGAAAGAGTACTCTCTTTCCAAAGAAGGCTAGGATTAAGATGAGGTGAAATTTAATCTCCAGCACTGTCCAGATGAGAGGCCCTGATCAACAAATTGACTTTCACTTATTTATTCATTTTGCCTGTGGGCATGGGTGAGCACATACCAGAGAGGAAGAGAGAGCAGAGTGTTCCCTAGATCTCACTGTGTTCTAGGTGCCATGCTATGTTTTGGAATACAGCCATGAGTAAGAAAACAGTGCTACCTGTTCTTTTTTTTTTAAGTGGTGAAAGAGCAGTTTATTAGGAAAAAAAAGTACACCCCATAGAGATGGGAGCAGGCCCAAGCAGAAGGCAGCGCGGCTCAAGGGTCCACTATTAGAAGAAAAAGCACACTCCAAAGGGATAGGAGTGGGCCTGAGCAAAAAA